GGGAGCGCCGCCGCGCTTCCCAAGCGGCGCACTATCCAGTGCGCCACCGGGCCGGCCCCTTGGTGGGATTTTTAAGAGCTGCGATGGGATTTGGATAGCAACATTAAGTATTTGAAGTTTGAGTTGCTTTGACTGAAAAAGTTTAGAAATTGTTGTGTTTACTCTGATTCTTAGTATTTTCTCAGCTGTTTGCCTTTGCTGCTAAAATTTAAAATAAAAATAGCTTATTGCCTATCTGGACTGGTTTGAATGTGCTCTTCAGTCTAGAGATAAGGATAGATCTCAAGGTCCCTTTTAATCCCAAGAATCTATAACATAGAATAATTTATTGCCAGATGAAGTGGTTTTTAAGTGATTCAGAGTGTGCTCAGAATGTATGTAAAGAATATCAACCTATTTTCAACCTTTGCTATAGAAAGGCTACCTACCTTGCCACAGAAACATTAGCTGGGCAAAAGTCCCAGCAGAGAATAAGAAATTAGAGGGCTAGAAATAGGGATAAAGTAGATACTAGTGGTTTTGAAGCATTTGAGTGTGTAAACCTGCCTTTTTCTTTTCTCACATCTTTTCAATCTTGGCTTTAAAATAATCTTACCACTTTTCAGAATCTCTGTTATTTTTCATCCAATTTTGAGGCTCCCTACAATGTAAAAGTGTACTGAATTCCCTACAAGCCTAACATTATCAAATACATCTTCTTGACTTTGGAATTGCATTCTTTCGGAATCTTTGGTAACCCCAATAATCATCAAAGGTCAACATTCTACCAAGTGAAGCCTCCTTTGTGATAGGGCTTTCTTACCATGAGTAGAAAATAGTAATGGACTTGAGCCTAAATAACCATGCACACTTACCTAGTATACCTTGTTATCCCAAGATCGTACTGGAAATGTGCAATGTCTTTCACCTCCCTTAGCTAAACATCCCAACAAAATAATGTATACTCTGCTGTTTACAAGTTATAAAATGCCATACAGTGTAATCACAGAATATATTAGTATTCCAAGATTATTAATCTTTTACTATTCTCTGATACATTTAAACTAAATTATATGTAATTTGGGGTAATAAATGGTTATATTTATCTAATTTGTAAGATTATAATATACAGTTTGCTTATTCCCATCCTCATTTTCAATGATGATTGAAGCCTGCCTTAGAGATCTCCAGTAGATCTTGTGTTCACAAAAGAAGAATTGTATTCTAAGGAAAATGGCATCTTTATATTATATGTACAAATAGGTAATAAAAAGTAGTGGTATATGTCAATTTTAGAAGACTCACTAATTCAATGAAATAACATTAGAAATCTTCATTTAGACCCATCTTATATAATTATTTTAAAAGATCATAGAATTAATACTTGTTAAACAAACTTGGCACCCATGCCTGAAGTTGAATTCTGGCTCCTCCTCCTTATCAGCAGTGTGACCTTGGGTAAGTTACTTAACCTCTCTGTGCCTGTTTCCTTGTTACTAAAATAGGAATAAAGATGGTACTTACCTCATAAGGTTGCTGTGAGGATTAAATAAGTTAATATATGTAGAGTTCTTGGAATTGTTGCTAACACATAAGTGCTCAGTAAATATTAGCTATTATAATCCAGATCTATTACTAAAAATTATATAATATTATCTCAGTTTCACTTAATCTTTCTAGGTTTCATTATTCATATCCAAGGAAGAAAATGTCACCTGAAATGCTCTCACATAGGAAAGTCCTAATTATCCCTCATTAGAACTGTTAAACTTCCTTCTCATTCTGGTTATGCTATTAAACTTTGTTCAGATGTGGATACCGAATTCTAACCTTGCCCAACCTTTTTTCTTTTCATTATCCTAATTATACTATCTTTATACCCCTATAGTCATTTAAGTGCCAAGGGCTTAGAAAAACCTGGAGTACCTCTGTGAAACTGCAGAGGCCTACAGTTGGATAAAGCCAGTTGTTTTTTTTGAAAATATTGTTTTCTTATAGAAAATAAAACAATTGAAAACTTTTAATCATAGGACAGTTACCCACTGGGAGAGTTTCTGGGGGTTTCCTCAGGGTTATGTTAGCTCAACACAGATAGATACTGCTTGCCTGCAGAATTTGTGCATTGTGGGGAGTAATTCATCCTCAACCCGTTCAGACACTAGGACTAAAATGTTAATAGTACCATTTGGGGAATGCTCAGCACTGCGCTAAACATATTACATACATTGCCTGTCATCCTCATAGCAGCCCTGCTCAAATTTTACACCTGACAAAACTGGGCATAGAGCTTGCCAAACATCTCACACTTAGTAAGTGGACAAAGCAGATTTTAAAACCACACTACTTGATGTAGGACTGGGCAAAGACTTTATGAATAAGACCCCAAAAGCACAGACAACAAAAGAAAAAATAAACAAATGGGATTATATCAAACTAGAAAGCTTCTGCACAGCAAAGGAAATAATCAACAGAGTGAAAAGACAACCTACAGAATGGGAGAAAATATTTGCAAACTATGCATGCAACAAGGGATTAATATCCAGAATATACAAGGAGCTCAAACAACTTAACAGTAAAAAACCAAATAATCCAATTAAAAGATAGGCAAAGAAGTTCAATAGACATTTTCAAATGAGGACATACAAATGGCCAACAGGTAAATGAAAAAATGCTCACTGTCACTAATCATCAGGGAAATGCAAATCAAAACCACATTGAAATATTATCTCACCCCAGTTACACTGGCCATTATCAAAAAGACAGAGAATAAGAAATGCTGGTGAGGATGCAGAGAAAGGGGAACCCTTCTGCACTGTTGGTGGGACTGTAAATTAGTACAGCCATTATGCAGAACAGTATAGAGGTTCCTTAAACAACTACAGATCAAACTACGATATGATCCAGCAATCCTTCTACTGGGTATATATCCAAAGAATGGAAATGATCAGGTCGAAGGGATACCTGCACTCCTGTGTTTACTGCAGCTCTCTTTTCAATAGCCAGACTATGATAGATGACTGGATAAGGAAAATGTGGTATATATACACAATGGAATACTTCTCTGCTCTGCCATAAAAAAGAATGGAATTCTGCCATTTGCAGCAACATGGATGAACCTGGAGAAAATTATGCTAAGTGAAACAACCCAGGTGCAGAAAGAAAAATACTGCATGTCCTCACTCATAAATGGGAGCTGAATTCATGAATAAACAACAAGAAAGAGAGGGGGGGAGGGTAAGAGAAAGGGAGAGAGAGAAAGAAACAACAATCACAGTAATATGTTGAACTCTTAGAAGGAGAGAACAGAACTGTGGTTACTAGAGGTGGAAAGGGGGAGTGCAGGGGGAGAGGAAGAGGATGTAAAGAGAAACTGGTTAATGGACACAAAGAATGATTAGGTATTGTAATGGTGAATAAGCTAACTATCCTGATTTGACCATCACACATTGTATACAACTATTGATAGTCAACTTTGTACCCACAAATACGTATAATTTTTTTAAAAGGTTTAAAAAACCCCTAAATTTCAACAAGGTACAGGAAAACAAAAACCAAACAAACCAAAAAACCCCACATCTGTCTGATCTTGAATTGTGCTTTCTAGAACCCTAGAAGTCACAGTGGGAAGGTATCAGAGGGCAGGCAGATGGGGCTCTGGGCCCAGAATCTTCACCTCAACCATAGTAGCTCTACTTTTTTTTACACATTGGGTTTTCTGATTTAGATTCATTAGAAGGTTCTGCTGATTAAAAAAAAAAAAAAGAAAAAAGAGGGAGAGGGTGTTGAAAAGTACTTGCAAAATTCAGCTCTGTAGTTGTGCATTTGAGGTACAACAACAAAAATGTTTCTATTATGCCTCTCCCCATAGGAGACAGAGAATCCATATTTCACATTACAGGATTTTGTAGATTGTTAGTAAAATTGCTGATAATTATTTTTAAAAGGTGTATATTTTTCTTGTTAATTGTATCATCCATACTGGTTGATGTGGACAGAATGTGAGAATTAAGTTTTGTTTAGGACTTCTCAAATATTAGAGAAATTCTTACATTTGAACTTATAGAGTAATTAGATTCGTTAATGTTCCTTCATAAAAAATATTTTGATGTAGACTATATTTATTAAAAAGAACTCAACATAATTTTAACAGCAAAGTTCAGTTTTTTCATCGGTTAAAAACATACTTTTCTTTTTAAAATGCTTAGGGAGATGAAGAAGCAAGTCTTGGCCTGCCCATCAGTCCCTTCATGGATCGTTCTTCTCCTCAACTAGCAAAACTCCAAGAATCTTTTATCACCCACATCGTGGGTCCCCTGTGTAACTCCTATGATGCTGCTGGTTTGCTACCGGGTCAGTGGGTAGAAGCAGAAGAGGATGATAGTGAAAGTGGTGATGATGAAAGTGGTGAAGAATTAGATACAGAGGATGAAGAAATGGAAGACAATCTAAATCCTAGTAAGAATACAGGGATATTATAATTTGTTTAATGTTATTAACTGCAAGTGTCCATTTGATTTGGATTTGGATCTTTGTTTCTCAGTTACAGATTCAGCAGTCATAACTTGAGCAACTACTGTCTAAATGTTCAGATTCAATAGTCACATTTTGAGTAACTGCAGGTTTTAAAACCACACTACTTGATGGAGGACTAGCAAAGACTTTATGAATAAGACCCCAAAAACACAGACAACAAAAGAAAAAATAAATGGGATTATATCAAACTAATCTGGGTACTCTGCTAATACTGTCACACAATGAACATTCTTATTTAATGAAAGTAGTGTCTCTTGAGGTATTTTCTAGCCAATGCTCTTCAGCAGGCTCCACCTGTGCACGCATGACAGTGCTGTCACCACATCTGAAGAAATGTGTGGTGGGTGGGTCCTAGTGACTAGTCCTCCTTCATCTCACCCTTCTCACATACCACCCCCAACCCCACCAGGCAGCTGAGGAGCAGCTGCTCATCTGCCCTTCACATAGACTTGGGAATTGTATCAAAACATTGGGAGAAGGAAAGCTTACTTCCCTGGCTTTAAAAAGAGAGCCAAGTTTTGTGGCATTATGAATTTGTTACCAAATTATAGTGACTTATTTTTCTATATAAGACAATGAGTATAAATGGAAAATGAAAAAACAAACAAACAACTGCCACCTTTGTAACAGTAAATGAAATCAGTTATTCTTTATTTTAAAGTAGAATTTATATTATACCTAGCTAGGTTTTTCGTTGTTTTTTAAGTATACTATAAATCAGAACAGATTGGATGAATACAAAGAACCTCCCCATTGACACTCACATGCCTTGTCTTTGCGATTAGTATAGCAAAGAGTAATCTTACGCCATTACTGTCTTGGTATCAATTTGGGAAGGTTGACTGGCATCTAAAATTGAATTATACTCACCGAAATCTTAGTAATTGTGTTTAATTCAACACATAAAAGGACATTAAAATGTTGATTTTTAACTTTGGATTGTTATTATTTTCATTTGAAATTTCAGCACTCGCCTCCTGTCCCCCTCATTTCCACCCAGTCTTCTCTAATCCCCTTCTTTTTGTTTGTCTAGGTCTTTCCACTAGAATGTGAGCTCCATAGTGCAGGGATTATTTTTATCTTACTGTTTACTATTATAACCCCAGTGCTTAGATAAGTACCTAGAATATAGTAGGCACTTAAATATTTATTGAATGAACGATTGAATAATATGGCTAGGATTAGAATGTTTATTTTAAATTTCACAGGACCACAAAGAAGGAAAGGCAGACGGCGAATCTTTTGTCAGCTCATGCACCACCTCACCGAAAACCACAAGATATGGAAGGAAATCATAGAGAAAGAAGACAAATGTAAAGTTGATGGAAATAAACTGCAGGTGGAGAATTCCTCCTTACCTCAAACAGACGAAATTCAGGTCATTGAAGAAGCAGATGAAGAGGAAGAGCGACAGTTTGAATAAAAGAAAAGTCATATTGAAGAAGCCCAGAGGGCTGTGCGCAGGGTGAGAAATCATTGCCTAGTGTTCACCATTCTGACTTTCACCTGACCGTTCCCATGTGAACAGGCCTTAATACTGTGAGAGGATTCTTGCTGTGCTGGCAATTTCCCATTCCTTTGCACTTTCACCACATGAACTAGAAAATTATTCTTAGAGTTAGGCTTGATATAACTCATGTTGCAAAGCCCTTACTTAAAGCCTTCACTGGTGTGTAAATACTTTGTCATAAAGCTGCTTTGCTGAGCTCTTATTTTTCATGTTGGGGGGATAGTGATAACTAAAAACTCAAGTGACTTCAGTTTCCAAAGTGGCCAGAACTTTTTGCCTTCATGAAAGGATTCACATTGTATTTCCAAATGTGTCTTTTATGTTTTTTGAATGTTTTGGAGAAAAGCCTTTGCCTATCTAAAAAGGATCCAGTGTTGCCTTTCTGAGGGGTTTCTGCTCAATGCAGTACACTGTTCAGTGCTATTGTCCCAGCTAGATTTATCCATCAAGGACTGAATGACCTCTGTTATGTGTAGCAAAATCCAGGTGCATCAATTTCTGATGCTTTATACTGTTGCATATTATCTACTATGTGTGTTTTATTTCTGTTCAGAGTATTCAGGTTTGCTTTGGACATCAGAAGTCTGAATTCCAATCTTACTGTGTGTTCTGTGGTTGAAATTTAAAGCTGTTTAGGTTTAACAACGAAGGAATTTTATTCTTTAGCAAAAACTATTCTCATTTTTACTCTTGCTCAGGATTAGTATTTTTAAACATTTAGGTAATATAAAGACAGCACATATTTGTGAGAAGAAAAAAAAATTGTCTTAATATTGATGTTAACCTTTTATGGAATGAGCATCATTTTCTGTCTTCTGAATTTGAGACTAATTAAAGCCAAGGAAAAGGAGATGTCTATCTTTTGCTTTAATGTAAAATCAAATGAAACTAATCCCATCAAAGATAACAAAGTACAGTGAACTCTAAAGGACACATACATTGAATAAATAATTGGAATATGTGATTATCTTTAGATCCATATCTTAGGTGTCATGTGTTTAGTTACTGTAAAACTGATATTCATCTTTTTATTAATTTCCCTCTGCCTCAAGACTACATGACAGAACTGATCTATCACTGCTCAATACTTCTAGAGCCCAACTGTAAGACTGATTTCTGCAATAAAGTAAATGATGAGAATACTTAATTTTTATATAAAAAATATAAATATTTTAGTAAATCATTTCACACAAAAGCACATTATTAAATAACCACATTATTAAGATGGCTGCAAAGAAAATGGACCATACTTACAATGTTTGTAAACTTATTAGGGTATGGATATATACTAGTTGTGAAAATATTTAAAAATGAGAACAGCCAAAATGATAGCAAGATGGTAGACAAATATTTTCCATTATTATTGGAGACCATAGCATATTTTTGATCCATACAATTTTGGAGATAGTGAAATCATCAATTTCCCTAGGTAATTCCTTTAAAGTATGATATTGACAGGCAGTTTCTTACATACCTAGAATATTTGGCTTACCTGAAAGATATCAATTAAAGATCTATGGAAGTGTTGGAATTTTTGATCCTGCACAATATTTAATGAATCACTAAACTTATTAGAAATGTTGAGTGCTGAGTTCCTTCCTGCCACTTTTGCTACCATTGTCACATCACTTGTAAACTTGTCCATCGTACATTACTAATAAAATTTTAATTGGTAATTTATTGAGTTTGCACTTATAATGTATATAATGTGCTTATATTTCTTTAGAGTACATTTTGAATCTTGCATAACTGTATTTCTGCTATGGTTTCCTCTCGTACAGAATACATATGAGAGTATGTGTATAAATTCATACATGAGCATGTATGCATAATGAGACTCAATCACATTTCCATACTTCCTATTATTTTACTGAAATTTTTTATTTTATGGTTTTATTTTCTCAGAATAATCATGTTTTATTCTATGTAAAATACTATTACTGGGAACTCATTTTGAAATAATTTAATCTTTAAATTATTTAACCTTTGCTAAATAACTGACATATATCAAAAGCCCAAAGAAACCAAAAAAAGTATTACTGCTGAAACTTTAAAATTCGTAATTGGAAGAAATAAATGTGGGAGTATATTATATATACACAGTACTAATAGATGGACTCTTACTTGAGAAATTGCCATCAACCAAATTACAGGTCTTATTCTGGTTGCTATTGAATCAGAAGTTTTTTTAAATTATAATTTCATCATGAATTTACTATTGTTTTAAGTCACTAGTATTACAAATAGTCTTTTAGTGCTACAATATATCTATGTCCTTCCACATTTTTCTCCATGAAAATCTACTTTTTAACGTTATTTCATAATTTGAAAGCTGTTTCCTGCTATTCTCATCACTTTGCTGGTGCTTCTGGATTTTTCTAATTATTTTTACAAGAAGCCTGGAGATTCTGGCATTGGTTAAGTGGTCAGAAATTTCTTCTTTCTCTCTAGAGTGTATCTCACAGAAACAAACTTCACAAAAGAGAAGAATAGAGCCAACTCCAGTTTCTTTATTATAGGTGCCAGGCTAATATGAGCAGCTCTATGAGTGGGCTAGCAGTGGCAGGTGGAGCAGGGATGCACAGCTTCTCAGCGGAAGGTGACTTTTTTTTTTTCTAAAGATGACCGGTAAGGGGATCTTAACCCTTGACTTGGTGTTGTCAGCACCATGCTCACCCAGTGAGCTAACCGGCCATCCCAATATGGGATCTGAACCCGTGGCCTTGGTGTTATCAGCACCACACTCTCCCGAGTGAACCACGGGCCGGCCCAGGAAGGTGACTTTTAAGCTGAGAATGGAAGAATTAAAAATTAGCTCAGAGATGATTGCTTGTAGAGAGAGAATGAAGGCATATATAGAGGCCAGGAGAAGAAAAAGCATCCCCACATGGAGAAGTCAAAAGAGATTTAGGGTGGCTGGAACACAGCGTGCAAGAAGAGGAAATGGTAGAGAGAGGGTGGTTAATGAAGGGCATGGTAAAGTATAATATGCCATTTAAACCTTATTCCTAAAGGAAATGGGAAACTATCGAATTGTTTTAATCTGGAAGAATGTCATGATTATATTTACATTTTACAGGGATCATTCAAATAGCATACTACTTTGAATTGTTAAACAAAAATTATGGGAGGCCATTGTTTTAGACTGAGCTCCTGCACTAGGCCCCAACAGACCAGACCAAACCAAAGTGGAGTCACTCATGCTAAAAGTTACATAATCAAACTGAAACCTTAAGGAAACAGGTAGATCCTGAACAGACCAGTTTTTCCTAAAAGCATGAGATTCCAGTCTACCTGAGTCAGTGTAATAAGGAAGTCCCCTCTGCTTTAACCCTTACCAAAAAAAGTAACTTCAAATAACCTGACATTAACCAATCAGGTTTTTTCCTATTGTTCTGTTTCCTTGTTCCCACCTCACAAAACCCACTGTTCTGACATTGCACAGTGGGAGCTCTCATTCTGTTTTGTAGAAAGGAGACTGCCCAGATTCATGAACAGTGAATAAAAGCCAATTTAAAACTAAATTTGTTGTAATTTTGATTTTTGACAGAAGGGAAGAGCAAGATTTCAACACAGGGAGATCTTAGTGGTCTTGACTAGGGTATACTGTATGACAACGGGGAAGTGATGGACTTGAGATTTAAGATACAGAATCAATTGTCCTGGTGATTATGGTGGTAAGAAAGTAATGATGAGAGGTGACTCAGATTTCTGATTTGGACAACTGTAAGTGTCATTCATAGAGATAGGGTATATCAGAGTAGATTTTGGATATGATTGAAGGTGAGGAGATGAATTCAGATTGGAGCAAGTTGAGATTGAGGGGTTTGAGACATCCAAGTATATTTCAATATAGGTGTGGAGCTCAGAAGAGAGATGTGGGCTAGAGGTATGGATTTGGGAGTCAACAGTAAATAGCTGATAATGGAAACCATAGAGTCGAGTCAGGGAAGATATTTCTTGGCAGAGTGATTAGAAAAGATGGCTTCAATTATAGGACTCTGAGAAACACTCTTTAAAGGCCAGACAGAGGAAAAGGAGTCTTAAGAATAAGTGGCTTTAGAGGTAGGAGGAAAACAAAGGGCATAGTATGACTGAAGCCAAGGTGTAAAATGAGTCTTTAAAGAAGGAAGCATGGTCAGGAATGTCAAAGTTTCCTAAAAGATGGACTAATATGAGGTCTGAAAATGTTTTCCTTGATTTTAGCAACAAGGATGTCACTTGGGTAATTTGCAAGAGTTTCAGTGAAGGGGACAGAAGCTGGATTAAAGAGTAAGTGAGAGACTCAATGAATTAAGCTTCTGATGTTATAGCAAATTAGATAAAGGACTTTCCCACCACAGAACAACTGAGTACATTATCACAAAAATAAGAGAAATCTCCAAGGGTTAAAAAAACAAAAAAAGAACTGAAACCAGGGCCCTAAGGGCTAAGCCACATCTAAAGTCAAGGTTATCCAGTGCCTAAACTATAACCTGAGTTTAAACCTTAGGCTGCAGAATCTGAAAATTCTTAAGCTAGGGACCTTGAGGGGACCAAAGTGACCCCAGGTCAGTAGTCCTTCCTGGCTCCCAGCCAAAGGAAATGCAAAACCTAATTTAAGGGAAATATCATGTCATAAATTTATTTAGGGTTTCTGGATTCCTTCCTGTTCATATCAATCAAATATGGACTCACATCCAGAGATCACTGTGATGGTTAAATTTTAAATGTTATCTTGGCTAGGCTATGGTCAACCAGTAGTCTAGATGTTGCTATATAGGTATTTTGCAGATGAGATTAACATCTATAAACTGACTAAGTAAAAGAGATTACTCTTGATAACGCTGAGTAGGTCTCAATCAGTTGAAGGCCTTTAGAGCAAAAAACTGAGGTTTCTCAGGCAAGGAATTCTGTCTCAAAACTGTAAAATGAAAATCTTGCCCGAGTAGCAGCCTGCCCTATAGATTTCACACTCAAGACTACAACATCAATTCTTGCCTGTTTTCAGCCTGCCGGACTGCTCTTCAGATTTCAGACTTGGAAGACCCAACAATCGTACAAGGCAGTTCCTCAAATAAATATATCTCTAGCTGTCTGTCTTTCCATCTATCTATCTATCTAGATATATATGTACCTACTATTCTTTTTATCTGGAGAATCCTAGCTGATATAATCACCAAACTCCAGGAAACACCCGTAAGCGAGAACAGCAGAAATAAATACCAGATTTAGACTCCCCATGGTTCCGTATGCTGCACTTCATTATCAAAAACAATATAAACTAACCATGTATGAAATGTTTAAGGAAATAAAAAACGAATGACAAAAAAAGAGCAGGCAATAAGAGATAAAGAAAAAATCACCAGGAAAGAATGGCTATAAAGCTGACAAAAACTTATCAATACCAACAATGGAAGCCAGAAGACACTACATTACTTAAGTGCTGAAAAAAAAAAAAAAACCCAAACTATCAAAAATGAGGGTAAAATAAGACATTTCCAGATAACTGTTGTGAGCTTTTTCAATCAACAGACTTAACATAATGGAATTTTGAAGGTGGTGCTTCTGAAGCTTGCTTTAATATGCATATAAATCATTTGTGCATACATACATTTGATAAAAGATATACAAAATGCAGATTCTGATCTCGTATGCCTTCAGTGGGCCCCACAAGTCTGTATTTTTTAATATTAGGCCCCTGAGAGTATGTATTTCTTAAAAGTTTCCAGGTAATACGATGTCAGTGCCACTGGTCTGTTGACCACACTTTTGAGTAGCAAGATTCTAAAGCACGTACCTTAGGAAGAAGAAAATGATCCCAGAGGGAAGATCTGAGATGCAAGATCTGAGATGCAAGAAGGTAAGGTAAGCAAAAAAATTAGTAAACAACAACCTTACAAGGCAATTCCTTAAATAAATACATCTCTAGCTGTCTGTCTGTCCATCTATCTATCTAGATACATATGTATCTACTATTGCTTCTTTTCCTCTGGAGAATCCTAGCTGATGCAATCACCAAACACAAGGAGACACCCGTAAGTGAGAATAGCAAATCTAAATATTCATTATCTATATGAACTAAAAATAACTATTATTTTGTGGGCCTTAAAAAAAGATTTAAAAAGTCCTGGATAACAAGAGTATGTAAATCAAGAGAGAAATGTCTTTTAAGGGCCTTGCATAGGGATAGTTTAGAGAAGAGATTAAGATATTAACTTTAGACTTCATTAAATTATGTACATTGCTAACATTTCAAGTATAAATGAAATGAAATGAAATGAAATTTTATACTGAAAGTATAAAAATATAAAACTTCTAAACCAGTAGAGAGGAAGAATAAGAAAACAAAAAATGAATAAAGATACAATAAATGAGAAAAAAAATTGTACAATAATAGGACAAATGGAGGGAAAAGGTAGGAACAAATTTTAAAATATCTATATGCACAATAAATGTAAATTGACAGTACTTTTCAGTCCCAAAAGAGTGACAGGTGGGGTTTTTAAAAAAATAGCCAACACTTAAAATGTGTTAGGCATTGTTCTTAGTGATTTTTGATTGGTATACATTAATTTCTATCTCATCATCTCAGTTGTATTAGGTAGGTATTGGATTATCTCTGTTTCACAGAGGAAGAAATTGAAGAACAGAAACTTGCCTGTAGAGACACAGCTAGGAAGTGGTGGACCCAAAATTCA